CGGTTGTAATTACTACCCTACTAGTGTTCTTGTCTAACAACTTCAATGTCTTTTGCTTTTCAAAATCATAAATACTCATTATATCGCCTTTAATGGTATTCCTACAAGGAACTTTAAACAAAGGTTGGAGATTTCCTACGAACTTTCGAAAGTCGTGATGCTCTACTATTGAAAGTGGATATTCATGAATAATGATCATCTCTGCAAGATCTCTCCTTGAATTATCCGCATTAAATGTGTAGTTGTAGAGATATGATGAACTACCATCGACCTTTTTTCGTTCTCCCACAAGAATATGTTGGCGTATATCTTGAAAGGGTCGTCTTATACAAACTTTATAATGATCATGTAAATGCCTTGTACCATTTTTACTAGACCCTCCCAACTTCTTCTTGCAATACTCGCACTCCGCTTTTTCTATTCCATTCACTTTCATCTTCTTAAAGTGATTCCAGACAACTGACCTTTGTCTCCTCTTCCTACCTACTGACTCAAGTTCATGTACATCATCATTAGGAGTTTCATTCTGTGTCACAGAATCATTTGCAGCAGGTGTTGATAGATTAGACTTATTAACTCCATGGTTGTTATCTTTGGGATTATTTGTCTTAGAGCTATCAGCTTGTTTTTCCATACCTAAAATAATAATAGACAAAAAAGCTCTATCAATAAATAAAATAAAACTTCACTTTACTGTAAAGTTGAAAACATAAGCAAAGTTGAAAATATGAATCATAACATGTATTCATCTTTGCCAATATAAAATAAAGATAGTCATGAAGATATAATTTAGGATACATATGTTTAATAAATCTTACATAATGACCAGGTAAGCATAAAGGCTATATTTCTTTCCATATTTTCATAACACGTTTCAAATAAAAATCCCATAAAAATCTGTAACTACAAGGTATGATGTATATCTATTCCTAGTTTCCATTCTCAATCATAATAAGCTAAAAAAAGTCCCACATCGTTTCAAATTTATTAAAGATTTTTTATGATAAGCAAATAATATGTCAAGAGAATCGATAAGTGATCAGAAAGCAGGAAGAAATCGAGAAAATATTTACTTTGTAATTAGAATATCGGATAGAAGCAATCGAAACTAAGAACAGGGGGCGACCGGAATGGAGCAACACTGCAGTGGACTGTGGACGTCGGGCTTCAAAACTCGATTATAGCTGAATGTTGATCGCTATTAACTCTAACGCCAAATCGCCAATGTCGATTGAAGCTTGGGAGAAAAAAGACAGGGAATAACTATTGAGAGAGGGATGCTGATGGTCGTATAGAGTTTCACAAAGTATAAAATATTTTACAGAAGTCCTGTGTATTGGGAGGAATTCGGATAGACACATACGCTTCTATTATATCATTAATTTATTATATTAAAGTAAAATATTATATATATATATATATATATATATATATATATATATATATATATATCGGGCCGGGCCGGATCGGTTGTCCCTCCCCCATCCCCATCCCTGAACCCAATAAATTCCCCAATTTCAGCCCCTGAAACCGCCCCAAACCCGATAAGAAATCCCCAAAACCGACCCAAAGACTTCGGTTTTCGGTTTTCACCGTCGGTGTCGGGTTTTTTTGCCATCCTTATATATATATATATATATATATATATATATATATATATATATATATATATATTATATATATATGTGAAAAGTGAATATACCCTTAAGGGTATATAAGTTTAGGTACCCAAACTCACTATACTACATCGTTTTGTATCATATATATACATTGTAATTGTCCGATGTTCTTATAATTCAACTTCTAACTTGATTTACTTCCAAGATTTTTATCAATTTCACATTTATATTTCTCTTACATAATTTTCATTTTCAACTATAATAGTTATAACCTAGTAAGTGTTCGGCAAAAAGATATGATGTAAGAGAAAGATAATAATGAAATTTCGAAAATTTTGAAAGTAAATCAAATCAAGGGTTGAAGTTTAAGAACATTATAATAAATATATTAAACAAAATGATGTATTATAATGAGTTTGGGTACCTAAGCTTATATACCCTTAAGGGTATATTCACTTTTCCTATATATATATATATATATATATATATATATATATATATATATATATATATATAAAGAAATTATTATTACAACTATTAAGGCATATATCATAGCTTTTTTCTTTTGTGCTAAACTTGATTTGAATTCAAATTATTTGTTCTTGTTTTAACAAAGAAAATCATATCGATGAAATAAGGACGTATGTTCTAATAATAAAAACAATTAATTATATTAAAAATATATATTAACATTAAATAATTAATTAAAAAAAAGTTTCAGATATATAAATCATCAAACAAAAAGAAATACGATAGGTTGAAATAGGGAAAATGACTTAAGAGGGTAACTATCTTTTATCCGTATTCACATATTAGCAACTTCTTCTTTTTTGTACATAATAAAACAACTAACTTGTTTTAACTGTTTAAATTACACCAATATTACCGGCTAATATCTGTTTTAACCGGTAACTCAAATGGAAAATGACTTAGGAGGGTAACTACCTCTTATCCGTGTTCACATATTGGCAATTTCTTATTTTTTGTACATAAGAAAGCAACTAACTTGTTTTAACTGTATAACATCCCAAAAATCATGACCAAAAAAAATCTTTTTAATTTAATACTAAAACCATAATTGTCAAACCACTAATTTAATACTCCGGCATCGGGCCCCGCTCGGTATACAAATATGTCTCTCTTAGGCCCTGCTTGTCTCCGGGGCCCGCCCGCTAAACACATACAATCCTATAATATGCTAACACATAAAGAAACATACTCTACTATATCCATGTCCTAAGAAACATACTCTAGTAATAATGAGATACAGAACATCGTTCGTACTCAGCTAGTGATGAGATACGGGAGCTCACCCACACTCACCTCTTTACCAGGCACATACAAGTATCACACATACAACAAGTATAATCTAACATGAAAACATTCCTCAGGCACCCGCCCGACACCAGACCTTGGTCTGGAATAACATACTAGCACACAATGTTTATGGCTAACCCCCGAGTATTCTTACTCATAGACTACGTGGGCTGGTATTATGACCTTAGACCCATTCACACAGTGAGGAGACTCGCCTTGCACTGCTGAAGCCCTGGCTGGAACTAGCTGAGTACGGATGAAGTTTTGTATCTCATTATTAGCAGAGTATGTTTCTTAGGACAGGGATCCAATAGAGTATGTTTCTTTATGTATTAGCATGTTAGATGATTGTATGTGTTTAGCGAGCGGGGCCCGAAGACAGGCGGGGCCTAAGAGAGACAAATCTGTATACCGAGCGGGGCTCGATGCCAGGCGGGGTCTGATGTCGGGCGAGGTCCGATGCTGGAGTATTAAATTAATGGTTTGACAATTATGGTTTTAATATTAAATTAAAAACGAAATTTTTAGTCATGATTTTTGGGATGTTATACAGTTAAAACAAGTTAGTTTCTTTCTTATGTACAAAAAATAAGAAGTTGTCAATATGTGAACATGGATAAGAGGTAGTTACCCTCCGTAGTCATTTTCTCTTTGAGTTACCGGTTAAAACATGTATTAACCGGTAATATTTGTATAATTTAAACAGTTAAAACAAGTTAGTTGTTTTATTATGTACAAAAAAGAAGAAGTTGCCAATATGTGAATACGGATAAGAGGTAGTTACCCTCCTAAATCATTATCCCGTTGAAATAAGGAATTAGGGCTTACTAAAAGAGATGCACAATACCATTCTTGGAAATGTCTAAAATGATATTTTACTCTTGCATATATATTATAGAAATGTATATAAACTAAAGGTTTTTTTTTTTAGTTTCTTGTTGTAAATTTGAATATTATCAAAATGATTATAATATTTTGAAAGAGATATTATTTATTAAATCCTTCGATAAGAATGAAATATCTAGGATGATGAATAAATAAAGTAAAGTTTCATAACATAATCAATATTGTGATCATAGTTTTACAATACATTAAAAAAATCAATTTTTTTTAACCATATTCTATAGATTTTAAAAAAACAAACTAAACTATCTTTTTTCTTATAAATTATAGACATTTAATTCACCTCTTATTTTACATATCTTATATTACATATGTAGTTCTTATACTACAAATCTTCTACTATAATAAATGAAGGTTTTTTTGCCACATATCCTCTTCTCATTCATATGTAGTTCTCATTTTCTAGATTTTTTAAATTTTCTATTTTCCACTTGTCATTTTATTGTATTTTTCATTTTATTAAATTAAAATTCCACATTTAATGTGTAAGGTAATATATATGTAAAGTATTTATTAAAAAGAATTTATATATATAATGTATTCAATACATTAAAGTCTCATTAATTTTAATAATTCAAATTTTTCTTATTTTTCTTATAAATTCAAAATTTTCAAATTATTAAAATTTTATATTTGTTTTTTTTAATTAAACCCATGTAATACATGGATTTTACACCTAGTGTTTTATATCTTAAAAAAACAAAAAACACATAAACGGTTTATGTAAGGTTACTTTTAAGTGAGGCCATATTAAGTTTGATTACATCTCCTGTTTCTTGACCATAAACTCATGCATAATAAAATTGTACTCACCAAAAGTATTAATTATTTCAGTTTTCGGCTTTGGAAAAAACAAACTGTCTCTTCGTTTTCGGATTCGTTTTTTTTTTTTTTCAATATTTATGTTTTTTGTTTTTTTGGGTTTATTCATTAATCATACTAGTATTTTTTTGCAAAAAAAGACAGCTGATTTACTAATAAAAAATAATACTATACAACATAACTTAATAGTAAATGATAATCAATTACCTGGACATCTTAATGAATCACGTTACAGACACTTTCCATAACTTATATTTCAACCCTACAATTACTTAAGGTATCATGAAATCAACCTCTATAGATTCGAGGAATTCTTTTTTTTTTTTTTTTTTTTTTTTTTTTTTTTTTTTAACTTTCATCTCCACTGCTTTCAATGACAACCACCTTTTTATTTCTCGGCCTCTTTGCACTTCTCTTTACACTTGTTTCCTGTTCTTCTTCATTCGATGAATCTTGACCTTGTGATTCATTAGGTTCATGTTTTCCAATTACTTCAAGGATTTTATCTCCATATTTTTGTGTCTTCAACTTCCCAATTATCTTCTCCAACTGAAAACAGTGTATTACGTCCATTCCATTCCATCAAACAAATCAAACAATGGAATGAACCACTCCATTCCTTTCCCAATTCCATCATAAACTATAAGACACTTTCAGTTTCAGATGTTTACCTGTTCTGTTGTTTCTGGTTTCTGAGAACATAACATTCCGATCTGCTGAGTAGACAAAATAGAATGAGGGAATATTCCTCCATCCATGGAAGCAAGTTGTTTTCGCAAGTTATCAAGCTCTGATTCCAATCCGGAGTTTCTCCCACGTTTGGAGGATTTACCAATTCCAATGCCACTACTCCTCTGTCCACTACTAACCTCAAGCATAATACTCTTCTTCCCTGTGTAATCATTTATTTTTTTTTAATCTAGTATCACTGGGTTATAAATTTATAATATACTAACAAATTTACCATGCAAAACATGCTTAGCAAGTGGTCCAATTGCCACGTAAGCATTAGTGGCATAAGCTGTATGCGAAAATTCTTCTTTCTGCATACAAAAATAAACTTTACTCTTTGAAAAAACTTTATATCAAATTTATTTAAATCAAATTTATTTAAAGGTGATAGTATCATAATAATACATTTATACTTACCAATACCCTGTGGAGAATAAGCTGAATCACAAGTTGCTCTAATTCATCCTTCTTCAACTCAAACCCTAGAAGGTATAAAAGTTTTATAAAAATGGATAATAATAATAATAATAATAATAATAGATATGATATGAGTATTACTAACCTAATTCCTTGTTTTTAACCTTTAACTTGTCAACCAATTGCAACATTGTTGCTCTCTGATCCTTTTCTTGTATTTCTTGTAGTAAAGATACAATAGCTTTTGCATGACCTGAAATAAATAAGGGCATATATATATATATATATATATATATATATATATATATATATATATATATATATATAGTTTACTAGATTAAGCATACCTGACACATCGATTTCCTTTATCTCACAAGAAAAGGCACAGTTATCACACATTCCTGCTCTTGTAAAAAACCACAAGGGTAAATATTTTAATACTCCAATTAATTAATAATGATAATAAGATGATGGAATATAAATTATAAATATTTAATACCATTGCATTCTTGAAGAGGCTCAGCAAAATGTCTGAAGAAAGCACTTCGTCTGCATTCTCTTTTAGACTGAAATTGAAAAAATATATAGTAATAACAATTTACATTTTACAATAAAAAATAATATGGAAAAATCATTGAGATGTGTAAAAGAATACAAACCTGACAAAATCGCACCATTTCATATAGATTCTGCAACCCACAATTCTCATAGAAGACCATGGAGCTCTGTAAAGAGAAATAGAGAATGGTGAGTGTTTGATATCATGTAAATGACGGAAATACCCTCCAACAATTCATACCTGTCTTGGGACATCAGCAGGCCTAAAGTAAAGTAAACATTCAGAAGGAAGCCCATCCCTCCCTGCTCTACCACTTTCCTAAAATAAACAAATAAAAATTACAAAATGCCTTTATGGGAAGGGTATAAATGTACAATTAGTCAATTACAAACCTGATAGTAAGTCTCCATTGATTTACCTAAGCTGTGATGTATGACAAACCTGACTATAGCAATGTACTTTGTAATATATATATATATATATATATATATATATATATATATATATATATATATATATATATATAAAGTAAAAAACAGTACTAACCATCTGGTTTATTGATTCCCATACCAAAAGCCACCTGTTAGAAAAACAAAACAAAAAAAAATCTATAATCATTAACTGGAATTATAAATTTTTTTTTTAAAAATATTGTTGATACGAGAAAACATACTGTTCCAACAATGACCTGCAACTTGCTATTACTCCACCTGTCAAAAAAGCATATTATTTTTTACAATAAACAGAATTTCTAAAAATAAATGAAATAAAAGATAATCAAATTTACCTCATGTGAACTTTTTCACGGGCATTTACATCCATATCTGCATGATAATGGTCAGCTGAAACACCTCTCTCACGCAATTCCTTTGCAACCTATAGTTCTTGAACTCAAAAGCATATAGTAAGTATAAATTTCCAAACTACTATTTTTAAAAAATTTCTCATTAACACTTTGACATCATATAAAAGATTTAATTATAATTCTTTGAACCTGTTCACACTCCTTTCGAGAGAAACAATAAACAATTCCAGATTCATTGTTTGTGTATGAACTCTGTATGAACTCAGCAATGTCATCAATCACCACTTTTCCAACAGATGATTTTTCTCGAACCTGTTAAATAATTTACAATGTATAGTGATTCATTTCATGAAAGACATGATTAGAATTTAGAGAATGAAAAGTGATTGCTTTATTACCATATAAAACAGATTTGATCTGTTCACTGTGCTAACAAATTTTACACATTTTGGAATGTTTAGCATCTCCATAAGATCCAATTGGACCTTCTTTGTAGCTGTTGCCTAACAATATGAAAGTTCATTATTCTATTAAAACTATGAAAATGGGAACCCAAAAAGAGATGGATATATGAGTAAAGACATACAGTTAAAGCAACAACAGGAACATTGGGAAATTGAGTCTTCAATATCCCAAGATTCTTGTAATCTGGACGAAAGTCATGTCCCCATTGACTACAACAATGTGCTTCCTGAAAATTCAAAAAGATATGAAATTTAACTTTTCAAAATTATATTTCTTTATGAAAACTAAGAAAAAAGAGTGAGTGTACATCAATTGAGATCAAGGAAAGACGTCCAGCATGGTGACATTTTTCAAGTTTTGACACAAATCTTTTGCTTTTGGAAACTTTTTCTGGTGTAACATACAGTATTTTAAGGTCCCCTTCTCCCTTTTCAAGAGCTTTGTATATAAATTTCTCATGTTCTTTACTGGTTGTTGAGGTTAGCATAGATGCTGGGATCCCTAATGCAGTTAACCCCATGACCTAAAGCAATAAAAATCTTGATTGTAGTTTATAATCAGGTAATCAATAGTAAAGGATATAGGATATTAACAGAAACAAAAATAAGCACCTGATCCTGAATAAGAGAAAGTAAAGGACTAACAACAAGAGCAATTCCATGATGTAAAACAGCTGGAAGTTGATAGCATAGACTTTTGCCTCCACCAGCAGCCATGATCACAAGAACATCTCTCCCACTCATGATTGCGTTAATGATCTGATACATATGTATCGAACTATCAATCAGTATTTAACTTGAAGAACGATTGAAGAATTATTGAAGTGAAATCAACCTCACGCTGATTTGCACGATAAGTGGGAATGCCAAAAATATTGAATCTGATATCATCAGCTCTATTATCCCATTCAAAAGACCCTGACCAGTTTTCTGGTTGTGGAGGTGGAGCTGCTGCATCGTCTTTATCAATATTTTCCGATCCTTGATAGCTTTCCAACACTGCCTTAAGTTCTGACTGTTTCTCGTAGAGCCTCTCTTGCTTATCAAGCAAGTTCTTTATTTCATCTGGAACGTAAAGTAACTGTTATGTTTATATACTATGCGAATCATTCTTAATCTGTCGATGCGATTTTCAAAATTTCCACCCAAAAGAAAGACACTTTGTGTACGTTTTTAAGTTCAATGATAACCTATCACGTATTAAATTTGAAGTGAATAGTTTGTGACATATAAATGCATACATCCGCTGGGATATATTTCTTATATGCATCAAAAAGAAGGCAAAAAGGATGGGACGAAATGAGAAACCTTGAACATCTTGAAGCTCCAGCTCGACATTGAGAAGGTCCTCCATAAGACCCTCCATGCTACTACTTGCTGCCATTTTCGAACCTCTCGCTCCGATTTCACGCAGTTTGTTCGTATACCCACCTCCTAGCCCTATATGCTATAGCCGTAGAATTCTGGGTTACTATTACCCCGTAGATTGTTGCCCTTTTACACACCGTTCTGAATGCAAGGATTCAGATTTTAGAATTAAGAGTAAATTACATGAATGGTCCCTATGGTTCGGGGTAATTTTCAAGTTTAGTTCCTAACTTATTTTTTTAACTTGGAAGATTCTTACTATTTGTTTTTGTTACGCGTTTGGTCCCTACTGTTTGTTTTTGTTACACGTTTGGTCCCTATCTTACCTAAAAAGACTATTATTTAAATAGGAAAAAATGGTGGGGTAGGTAAGGTAAGGTGAATGGGGTGGGATTGGGGGTGTGTTAATTTAAATAAATCAAAAAATCAATAGCAAAATAGTATTTTTTAGGTAAGTCAGGGACCAAGCGAGTAACAAAAACAAACAGTAAGGACTTTCCGAGTTAAAAAAATAAGTTAGGGACCAAACGTGCAAATTACCCTAAACCATATGGACTATTTGTGTAATTTACTCTACAATTAAATCATAAAAAGGTAAATGTTTTCTTTGTGCTTTTTTTAGGGTTATGATAAGTTTAGTCATTTAATCTTTTAGTTTGTATTTATTTAATCACTTAACTAAGTTTAAGTTTTAAAAAATCATTTAATTTTTAATTTGTTTTCAAAATTATTATTACAACGAAGTAACCAGTAATCGTGTTAGTTAGTATACATAGTTATCGATAATATATATAGATTAAAATTTAAGGTTAAGATCAAAATTTGTCATTTAACTTTGTGATTTGTGTTTATTTATCCATTTAACTAAGTTTAAGTTTTAAAGATGTCACTGAATTTTTATTTGTTTTCGAAATAGTCACTATAACCCGGTATAACACATAACTTGCTAACTTGGCCTAAACAGTTTCACGTGGTAGTATATTTGGAGTAATTCGTCTTATTTGGCAGAACCATATAGTAGTTGACCTTCAACTGAATTTAAAATACCATTAAATAAAGGTTAATCTCTTCGTCTTTCATAAGTTTCAATGGGAAGAAGTTCATGGTCAGTGCAACCCTATGTACACAACTTTTGTTGACATGTTATTATTTGTCCTCATTAATTCCTCATAGTTCTAACCCTATGTACGCAACTTTTTCCCGTTTAAGATTCTAAAAGACGAAAACAAAAGTCTTTCTTTAATAATATTTCAAATCTAGCTCAATGTCAATTGTCGCATGGGACTGCTAAATATGAATAATTAATCCAAATTAGTAGATCACATGTTATAATCAGTCATAGTGATCATTTCGAGAATAAGTAAAATGTTAGGTGACCCACTTAAACTTAGTTAAGTGACCACATAAGCATAAACCAAAAAGTTAAGTGATCAAATTCGACCTTATATACCGCTACGTAAGACTGAGTAGGTTAAGTCAGTAGGTTACGGGTTATACCAGGCCATAGTAACTATTTCGGGAACAAATAAAAAGTTAGGTGACATTTTAAAACTTAAGCTTAGTTAAGTGACCAAATGAGCATAAACCAGAAAGTTAAGTGACCAAATTCAACATATTTATCCCCCTTTTTAAGAGATTGAATTGAATAGAATGGAAAGGGCAAGGAAGCAAAATATGTGCAATTTTCATTCGCTCGCTTTTGGACGGGTTATGATGGGAAGTCCAAAAAATGTTGAAATACGTTGATTCTATTTCATTTCACTCTAACTTAAGAAGATGATTAATCATTTGCCTTTTATTTTTCATTTGTTTACATTCCATTTTTTCCTCTCTTTACAAAAGCGGAGCCACTTTAGGGTCAAAGTAAGCCCAAGGCCATACTTAAGTTTTTAATTTTATATATTTATTTATTTTTAAATAATATATCATTTGGGTTCTTATGATATAGGTTATTTTTTCTCATGTTAAAATTGTCATGTTCTTATTTATTTGGCTAGCTTTTAATATGCCCCTGGGTCCGGGGTTTCCAAAGGGGCAGCACCTCTTTGGCGGGGTCTAGAGGCAGCTCCCCTAACGGGATCCAACTGGCAGAGCCCCTGGCTGGGTGATTATGGTAAACCTGACGAAATTCATCGGGTCTGGTAACCCTTGATTTCTCATTAAAATTCGGATTTCTCTTACTTGCTTCCAAAGCAACACATGACAGCCCACCATAAGAGGCAAACCCTAATCTCATTTATTATATACGAACGAACCTTCTCTTTGAGAAGATACATAGAAAATGATTAGCTCTCTTTTCTTCAAACGAATATAGAATTCTTAATTTGGCTTACGATTTCAGTGTCTAGGTTTGTAAGTGTCCTCTTGGATTATCCTAGGCTAAATTTCTTGCAACCCATACACATGGTAGAAATATCAATTAGAAAAGTGTTTACACGATCCAAGGGGTATCCGGATCTCCAATGTAAACCCTAATTCCTCCAACAATATATATATATATATATATATATATATATATATATATATATATATATATATATATATATATGGAGATGATCAAATGAGAACACCTAAAAGGTTGAGAACGCGAGAACAGTTCTAGACCAATCATTTTATAAGGGTATATTAGTAACTTTATATAAATATTAGTTAATGATTTCCTAAAATCTAGGGATAATGATTTTAATTACCTAAAAAAATAATATTTCCTTTTAGTTAATGAAATATATATAAATATTTTTTTTATAATTTTTACCAAAAATAATTTATGATCATTTCTTTTTCTTTAAAATGAAATCAGTACAACTCAAATCACAAGTGAATCCACTTTTATTTACGATTCAATTTTAATACACTTCTATTCACAATCATAAATGAATATACACTCTTATTCACAAATATCACAAATGGATATTGTTTTAATCACAAATGAATATAACAAAATAGTATATAAATTACATTTAAAAGATTCATCTTTTTCATTCATAAATGATTAAAGTTATAATCGTAAATAAATACATTAGTTGTGTATCGAAATATAGTTGTAAATTTGTAATCTTAAATGAACATAACACAAGTTACACATAAAACATCAACTAAATCCGTAATAAAAAATAAACAAAACACATTTAAAATCATATATGAATATAATTATGATCACAAATGAAAATCACAATGTCTTAATATATTATAATCATAAATGAATAGAATACATTTCTATTCCTTCCAAGATGTTGAAGATGTTCATTCATCTTTCGTCGTTACAATCTTTTAGGTCATCCGTATTTACTCATTCCATCTACAAAAAATCAAAGAAATTTTTTGTATTATTATCAACAAAGTGTTCAACTCATTAACCACATACACTTTTAATCAAAAAAATAATAAAGAACGATTATAATCATCAACAAGAAATAAATCTATATTAAAAAACAAAAAAAAAAACAAATATGCACAAATGAATAAATCACATTCCAAACGCCTCTTATAGACTCAAGAAGTAAACTTCCTTAACGATTAAACTCAAAAAATATTGCATTATTCATCTTCTTCCTATTCATTTCAAGCAACAAAACAACACCAAAATCTATTGATTAAGCTCATTAATTTTTGTTAAAAAGCAAACCCAAAAACCCACCTCAAACTCCAAAAATTTCAATCAAAACAGAAGATAAAAAAGGGAATCAAACAAACACCCACCTGAGCCTATCGAGTTATGCCAAATCAAACAAGAACAAAAAAAGGAACCCTTACTTGTTGTTGAATCGGTGCTGCCCTTCTCGATCACCAAACAACCAAATGTCGAAGCTTTATCATCGGAAACCAATGACAGACCCAACATCCCGCTGCTTCCATTCTCTTTTCTTCTTCTCTTCGATCCAACCAAGCACCAAAGGTGCCCCATCTTCAACCCCCGATCGCATTGTTGCATCCACCGAGACCGACGACCCACCCTCGCTGCCTCCTCCTTTCCTCCTCTTCAGCCTCGTCGACCCGGAGACGCTCCCCTCGATGAACGAAAACAGTGGTGAAGAAGGTGGGGGTGTACGACCGTTTTTTTCAAAATAATAAGCTTAGGGTTTTCTAATTAAGTAGATAGAGAGAGAGAGAGAGAGAAAGAGATAGAGAAATTACAGGAATTTCTATTTAATTAAATTATATGGATTTCCTATTGTACCCTTCTTGCCATTTCAAAGTTACATATTTAGCACATCAATTTTATAAATATTCATAAATGGTCCAGTTAATAACAGTCATAGATCTAATTATTTACAAGGTTGTGATCTATTCTCGCGTTCTCAACCTTTTAGGTGTTCTCATATATCATATATATATATATATATATATATATATATATATATATATATATATAATCTATTGGTGTAATTAGTACCATTAACTATAAAAAACTCTTGAGTGGTTATTATTAATTAGGTGAAAGTGAAGAGTTATGTAGGTTTAAAATGAATATGATGTAAGGATAGGACATATCTTGAAGCACATTCATTTGAATGGCCTCATTTATAAGATTTATAAAGAAAAAGATAAAATTGAAACGTCTCTCTTTTGATTTAATAGTTTAAAACCATTTTAAAGTCTTTAATTACTCAAATACATCGGTTTGTAGAAAACGAATCCCATAGTTATTAATTTTTAAAACATTCATAGGCTTTAAAAATGTTTAAGAGATGGTAATCAATCATAATATCGTTACATAAATGAAGTAACCGCTACATAAATGTGCCCTTCTTAAATATCCAAGATCTTCTAATCTTCATTCACCATCTTCACCTAAATACATGTCAAAATATAGGTTAGGCATCAGGAATGTCTAATGAATAAAATTAGGATTTCACATATTCAAAGGCAGAGGATATGGCACATTCCTTTTACTGATGAAAAATCCTAAAAATCATTGCAACACTTTTAGATGTGAGAAAATCATTTCAATTCAAAACTCTAACTCTTTAGTCTCTAAAATTCTCTTTAAATATCTAACACTTTTTAAAACGCCTTGAAATATTATAATCGTTTAATCAATGTAAATAAAAGATGCAATAAAATATGTCTCTATTTCCCCAACCTTCATTAATGTCTTGGTCTCTTCTCACATGCCTTTAGTCTCTTCGGTTC